TCCATCCTACTTTCCAACAGACACCATGATAGGAATAAAGAAATTTAAACTATGTTTTAAAGTTTTCAAAATGCACACAAAATGAAATGCCCAAAAGATACCAGAAATCAAACTTAAACGCAACAGAATCCCGCTGTTATTAACAAGCTCCTCATTTAATCATTTTAACTCACACTTGTTTTTACATCAATTGCTTATGTTTGAATTGTGTAAATAAAGTTCTGTTAAAAGTCAAAAGTCTTCTTCTATTTTTTAATGGCGATTAAGTGTCGGTTCCGTGACACAGGGGTTTACATTTCCAGCCGCATTTAATTTTTTCACCATCAGTAATTTTTTTTTACTCAGTAATGTGAGGGGGTTTTAAATGTAGCGAAGTAAAATTACTTAGGTTAAAATTTACTCAAGTAAAAGTAAAAATGACATATTTCAAAAACTACTCAGAAAATTACAAATTACTCATAAAAAGTACTCAATTACAGTAACTTGAGTAAATGTAATTCGTTACTTTCCACCCCTGATTTACATTACAGAAAAAAAATAGATACTTTTAAAAGAAATATCTGAAAATCCACCTTTAAGGCTATCATGTGTATTTTTATTTAAAACATTTAATCAAAAGAAAGATTCTTTTAGATAAAATGCAGTAAAAAATTAACTTTATTGTGCAGGAAGCACTTAAATGCTGAGGTAAAGATTACTAATATTACTGAGTGATGAAAGCTACAGTCTCTCAAGTGGAAAGACGTTTCATAAGGTCTAGCCCAGGGCTTATTAATACCCTCCTCGAAATGTCAAATAGGCCTGCGACACAAAATATGTGGGTGGATCACAGTCCTTATTAGAATGAATGCGTTTATAGATGAGGCCTCGCATGGTACGGCGTTTTCTGCAGCCAGAACATATTCCACCCATGTCGGCAGGATGTTTTGCGTTTGAGAAGTAAGCAGGAAACACTTGAGCACATGTGGAAATCATTTGTGTACCTGATGCTGCATTCATGCACAATGCTGTGGTGTTAAGATGCAATTGAAAACGATAAGATTGCTTCTGGGAAGACCAGAAGACAGAAAAGCCTTTAGACCACAGGAAGGCAAAAAAAAAACAAAAAAAAAGCGGGATAATAAGGGCTCGGTCAGAGATTCTGGTTTGTATCTGCAGCAATTCTTCTCATGTGATACGCAGGCTTTAAACAGAGCACCATAGAGGTCCATTTTAGGGCCATTTTCTATTAAATTTCCCAGAGAGGCCCCCTGGTACCTTTGCTAAATATTGCAGGCTCCCAGAGGGACCTGACTCTGAATACTCCAAGATATCCCTCACTAAATCTTCTTATTTTGCTCAAAACATTTGTACCCTGATTCTAACAATAACCCCTGTTGAGTTATTTTAATAAAGCGCTTTAAAAAAAAAAGAAAGATCAAAATTAACCATCTCTTCAAAAAACAAACGCTGAGGTCTTGTACATGTATGGCCAGATGTCTGTTTACGCTCATCACAAGCAATTCTAATATTAGTTTGAGGTTTTGATGTTCTTTATCTGGAGTGAAATAATTATACAACATGCAGCTTCCTGTTTACAGATGAACATTCACTGCATGTTTCTATTATTCTGTCTGAACACTTGGCCTCTCTACAGCAGAACGCTTATTTAAAGGAGTCATAATCTGGTATTTCTAAAGTAGTATTACTTTAGCGATCGTTTCAAGGTGTTGCTTTATTGTATGTCTCGTACCATGTCTTTCGGTTGTGCTGTTCTTTTTTCATCTCGTTGCAGGTGATGAAGCAGACTGAAAAAGTTTTGTCATTGTCTCCTTTCTATCTCTTCTTTCTTTCATCTTTTCTCTTTTTTCCTTTTTCTTCTTCTACTTTTCTGCTCTATTTACATTACAGTGTCCATATAAACTGTAAAACTCCCTGCATAATTATAATAAAGCAATTTATATGCATGAAACAAGTGGAGCAGTATGGCAATTGCCATACCGCTCCACTTGTGAAAGTAAAATCTGTTGGGCTCTTTTTGGCATCAAGACAGTTATTCTTATTGCCACATTGCCAGACAAAACACTGTTAAAAAAAAATAATAATAATAATCTGGTATTTCACATACATAATAATTCTAAAATGTTCTTTAAATTCATGTATTATCATTTATAGGAGGAGCATAATTAAAAATATAGCTCATTAAGACTCCTTTTCAAAGCTGCTTTTTTTTTCTGTGAGGCTTTGCACCAGAAGTTGACGTTTGTATGAGTAGTCAGGTGGATAGTTTTAGAAACATTAGCATTTAGCGATTTGTAGCTTCAAATTTTTTCCTTGTTTTTTACACAACTGTTTCAAAAATTACACAAGCAGCAACTCTTAACGGCTGCATTCAGGTGAGTCCCTGACTTTAGGAATCGGAGACCAGACTCCAGCACTGGAGATGCAGATAAATAATAGATGCTGATGAAGATTCTCAGTCATCCAGGTCATAGTCATTCTGTAAAAGTTCAAAAAATATCCGCTGGACCTGGTTTTCAAGATTTGAAAACGTTTCACCACCTCTCCAGGAAGCTTTCTCAATTCAAATGTCTGGATCCGCAGTGAGTTTGAGTCTTTATATGGACAAAGCCTTGTATCGCTTGGAAACATGCAAATGGAAGCCGATGAGTTGGTCGTTTGGTTCCATCGTTAGCCTGTAATATCTGAAACCTGTCTATGATTCTGATGGTCGGTCGTTAAAGGCGGGGATTGTCTCCTGTAATACCTGAAACCTGTCTATGATTGTTTAGGGTCGGTCGTTAAGGAGGTATTGTTCAACGGCTGGAGCGAATAGGTGCTATGTTCCTCTGTGATGGGGTGGGGGGGTGGTGATATCTGGAAGGGATCATCTCTATAACTGAATTGTAAGTTTTTGGAAGCTGGTGTACTCAGATTCCAGCTTTCAAAAACATAAAATGCAGCAATTGAATTGATCCCTTCCCACTATCATCATCCTTTACAAGGGAGCAGAAAACCTTGCCTATTCAGCCAGTCCAACAACTCCCTGTATCGACCCCCCCTTTCAGAAACTTAAGCCTGGTTTATGCTCAGAAACCAGGTCGTCTGCATGTGTGTTGCAGTTAACGCAACACACCTCCCCCCCTTCCGCAGACACTCTGGTACACCTCCCAAAAATTGTAGGTGACCGCGGACAGGGTTGCAGGGAGGATAGAAAGGAGGTCAAATCTACATCCGCTCCACACTATGCGTATTTCCTGTTTGTTACACTACTGGCTTGTTTTGTTTGTATGACCGCCATTGTGGAAAAACGACCCCTGAACATGGACCAGTTAGAAGAGCGATAAGCTCACTGCGACACACTGCTGCCGGAGAATAACCAGCCCATTAGCCAGGTATGGGGCATTGCAGGCTAACAAAAGAAGCCAAACAGGGTGGACCGTTCGTCCGTTTCTATTTGCGTTGCGTTGCAATTTGCGTTTACTTAACAAAAAAAAAAAGGCTTTGGTGGGCTACTGTGTAAAACCTCGAACTCAATGCTATTTCTGACTTTATGAATTGAAAAGGCTTCCTGGATGGGAAGCAAAACATCTTAAAACTTGTCCAGTGGATTGTTTTTTAACTTTTTTGAGCTGACTCTGACCTGGATGACTGAGAATTTTCACCAGCACTTAAAGTCGTAGGGAAGCGGCCGTTCTAACCGCTGCATTTCCAAATTCTCCTGAGTGGTGCCCGACTTTACACGAGTGAATAAAGTGAATGTGATTGGTCGATTATCAAGGGGGCGGCATTGTTGTGACGGAAGGTTCGCAAAGCATGTTTGGTTGTGGCCGGTTTGTCGGAAGCATCTTGCTAACCAGTTAGCAACTTAGTGCTAGCAGGTTCCCAGTGGGAAATTCCATTGGGACCAAGTAGCACTAAATTGGTGACTTAGAAACGACACTATCAAGGAACGCTATGGACAGCGGAAACATGCAAGAGGAGGAGAGTTTAGTGTCGGAGGTCGTGGATGAGTCTCCCTCATCCATTTTTTATTTAGAGGAGGAAAGCGGGGACGAAGATGTTGTGGAAGAGGACGCCAGGGCGGCAGAAGCTTGGTTTGGTGTAGAAGGCTTCCAGCCGTACATGTGTGAGCCCTTGCCTCGCAACGCTGCCAGTTCTGTTAGCTCTACGCCTGCCGAAGACACAGACGTCCATCCCCGTGAACACTGGGACGCAACTCAATGGGAAAGGAAAGGATTCTGATTTCAACCGTTGCGTATATTAGCTGCTACATATGAATCAAGATGCTATGACCAAAAACATCTGATTGACAGATGACCGTTGATATATGATTGGCCGAATTTAAGTGTTCAGGCTGACGTATGAATAACTGGTCTGAATAAGATAACGAAAAAAAACAGAGATTTTAAAACTGGATTTCTTTTTAAAACAGAAATTTTCTAAATTTTGGTAAAATATCTGATAAAGAGTACATTTATATACATGTTTAAGCCAGAATGATTTGACATTTAAATATTACTTCCCCACGACTTTAACTGCTAAATTTGCTTAGAAGGAATTTCTTTCATTGTTGCAGTGTTGCCGCCGTCCACTAGAAGGAGCCGCTGGTCATTCTGAAACAGAGCCTCAATGGTAATTGCAAGAGAAGTAATACAGAAGCAAAGGCGTTGTCCCGGAAGAACAATCCGTACCATCAGCTCATGGGCAACCAGATATACATCCGGATCGCCCTCGATTTAACTTTAAATAAAAGACCTAAATTACATTTTTCCCTTCATAAAAATAGTAAGCGTAATAAAATATAATGTGTTTAAGGTTAACAATGTATTTCCTGAAAAAAATAAATGCATTAAAATGCTTTGTGTTTTATCATGTCACAGAGGAGCCTCCTCTGTAGATGTGCAATGCATGAAATGTTTTAGCCGTAGTAATACAGTACGCAGAAAGAAGACTGTGAGGAAATGAACAAAAAGCTTAAGGAAGAGAGGTTTAAAGGCTTTAAGTGACTCTGGACTCACATGAAAGGTATGTCGGTTGAACGTGGCCAGGTTCTCCGCCTTCACATTCCACACCACCGGTTGGGGGGAGTTCAGCACAAAGACTAAAGGCTTTTGGTGCGGGCGTATGGAGTGGACGGGCCTGAGATGCAGCTCAACCTGGACAGAGGAGGAAATAAAGAGAGAGAAGGTTCCCATGAGAACATAACAGCAAAGAAGCCCTTCTTTTTTTTTTCTTCCATGTACGACAGCTGAACTCCTCAAAAACGTCAGGATCTTGTCAAACCTTTGATTTTCTCCTATAAAAAGAAAAAGGGAAAACAAAAGAACCACCCCTGTGTAAATATAGATGTGTTATGTTGTAGATGTTTCCTTTTTATCAGCCTCTTCTGGTGGTTTCTGTAGCTTCTTTACTGATAAAAACCCAAAAAAAGACAACATGCTGTGTTCTCCCTAAAAGGCTCTTGCTTTGCTCTGATATGTATACTCAGAGGGATTTGAACTTTCACACAGTGGAGTCTTTGTCAAAGGCAGAAAACATAGAAAGCAGCTGCTCTCTGTTGTCATCTCTACTACGTGCAACTGAGTCTTTTGGTTCTCGGAATGCCGATTTTTCACAATCCACAGGAATGATGGAAATAAACCCAAACTTGTAAGTTTTTGGAGTTTATTTTGTTACCTTCTTGCTGGTTTGGGACTCGCCTGGCTCATTTAGACCAAATCAACTAAGCTTGTTTTTGACATTTTGTTCAGTTAGACATAAATTCAATTCAATTCAATAATCCTTTATTTAATCCAGTTCAAATTAGACTTTAATATGCAAACTTGCAGAGTTTACTTTCTCAGAGGCTCCGTTGGGAAAGATTCGGTGAGCAGAGTCACACTGTCCTTAAAAAGCCTCTTTTACTCACATTAATCCAATTAGCCCCATCCTGTGTTCAGCAGAAACAGCCAGTAAATCACTAACCCAACCCATAAGGATTCACATTATGTGACTTAAAGACCCCTGAAGTAATTTAATCAGTTACAGCTACCAAATATATTCGCCTCGCTTCTTACAAGAACACAATCTTTGTACTTTCATGGACTCTGTTAACCAGAAAAAGAAGTTAATATTAATAAAAAATGATGCAAACACAACATTTCATGCTTGAATTTTAATAGAGTAACAGATCTGCCTTAATCAAAGTGATTCTTTGCCTGCTTTTTTTTAATCCTACAGATTACAATGATTGATAATCTAGATGGATGATTAGTCGTTCCTCCACAGGATGTGGTTTAGCTGTCTCTGCTTTACCCATAGTGTAAAACAGGAAGCCGCTCGGAGCTGATTTGAGAACAGATGCTAATAAATAGTCCTCAAGGCACACTGCTCTGCATGTTTTGGATGTTTCTGAGCTTCAGCACACCTGATTCAGATGATTGCAGTTGAGCAAAGCCTGATAATCTGCTATCAATTAATAACAGGTGTATGAAAGCTGGGAAACATCTAAAACATGCAGGGCAGTGTGCCTTGAGGACCAGAGTTGAAAAACACTGCATTAGGTCATGTAAGGCTGCAATTGATTTATTTGCTAGGAATATGGTAATTATTTTTGATTAATAATTGTAGAGCAAAGGATGCCTTAAAGAGGATTTTATACAGAAATGAAGCCAAGTGAAACTAAAACTTGAGCTTTATTAGAGACAAAATGGTTTGTTTTGCCTTAAATGCAAACATATTTCAGCTAATGGTTTATTCTCCAGATATTAAGTAATGGATCAATAAATTAGTTGATGATTATTTCACTAATTGATTAATTATGATCAAACGCTTTTCAAGTGCTTAGCAATTATGTGCTAATTTGTGTTTTTCTAACACACAATCGGGGGGGGGATTTACCATTAGGTGATACTAGGCCCCCCGAGTTCCTGGGAGCCCCATAAAACTCTCTGTAAATGTACGGTTTATAAAACTATTCCTTATTTGTCCACATTAATTATGTTTTTGATAAAAATCCTTTTGCTAAAATGTCATCAGAACGCTGATAATATTAAGTGTGTCTCAGCCCCCCCCTTCAGTGTCCACCATATTGGATCAGTCCATTGGCTGCACATGTTCAGAAAGGTCCAAACAGAAAGCAGCAAACCATTTCAAAACAAACCATGCAAAGAGCAGTGTTGCGAACTTCAGTCGCTATATTTAGCCACTTTTCAGACCCCTCTAGCACTTTGATTTCTAAAAAGCTCCTAGCGCCAAATCTAGAGACTTTTTTCTGCTACTGGAGACTTTGGAGACAACATCTGAAAGCAGCGAACTCTGCTCTCCAGAGCGAGTAGATTGGTAACCCCGCCTCCTGCTCTCCTCTATCTTGTCTGCTGTCATGATTCATGCAGCTATTATTTCATCCAAATGAAAAATGGAGAACAGATAAGCAGATCATGGCTTGTCTACAGTGAAAAGAAGGACTGGGTTATTTACTTTGGCCTTTTTGGAAACACAGGAAGGAGCAATCAGCTAAGTGAGCTTAGTGCTTGGAAAAAATCTTTCATTCCTTTAGAGACAGCATGAAAAGTCAGCTGAGTACAAAACACACTGGAAAAAATTTAAATCCAGATAAGTGATTTTTTTCTTAAAATAAATGCATTTGTTCTTGGATTGAGTAAATAAAAGATACATTTTGCCAATAAAACAAGACAATTTACACTTAAAATGAGAAAACATAATTGCATTCTCTTACTCCAAGTGCATATTATCTAATTATCTTATTTTAAGAGTAAAAAAACTCACTCCATTGGCAAACTATCTCATTTACCAACTCAAATTAAGGATAAATACACTTAATTATTTTTACTTATTTCAAGATCGTTTTTCCAGTGAGGAAAACAAGAAGAAAAGGGACAAGAAGAGAGGGACAAAACCGAGAACAGATAATGGATGTCTATTCTATTAAAATTTCTCTATCTGTAGAATGAGTCTGTTTATGTGTTGTCTTCTCAATTCAGAGGGGCCCCCTGCCTGTCTTTGCCTAGGGCCCCAAATTTCCTAAAGGCGCCCCTGCACACAATAACAAAAGGTGTGCAGGCCTTTGAAAATGATGACATAAGAGCTGGTAACAAATGAAACAGTTTATGTACCAACAAATTATAGAACTAAAGGGATAATAACAATCATATATATATTTAAAAAAAGGATAGAAGGATATAAATAAATAAATAAATAAATAAATAAATAAATAAATAAATAAATAAATAAATAAATAAATAAATAAATAAATAAATAAAAAGTTGACAGAAGAAAAAGATGAAAAAGGCAAAGAAACTGTCAAAACAAAGAAATCATGTAAGGTCTTATTTATAATTTACACATCACTCAGCTGATAGTATGTAGGTGAAGAGACTTGATATCGATGGAAAATGGTGAAAATGATCTTAAAGTTTTAGATGATAAGCATCAGATGGAAAAAGCAAACATCTTTTATGTGTCAAACAGAGAAGACTGAAGAGTTTCAGGTCAGTGTCATCGTCTGGCCTCAGAGTTTCAGATGAGAAAACCAGGCTTGTTCATATCAAACTTTCATCACACACAGGTTCTTTCCACCCGCTAATGAACCACTAGTCATCTTTCAATTGATGAAATCCAATTGACCAGGAAAAATAAGAATGTATAACCCATCAGGATCCTGGCAGAACATGATGTTCGCTGCAGATGTCTTCTTCTCTGGAAAATCGGATTGATTTCATCAGAAGTACAACTACTGATGCATAAAAAATTAAAAAAAACGGTCTCGGATGAAGTCATTTAGGAAGAGTAACAGAGAAAGCATGAAACGTCAGACCCCAAAGACGTTAGCCCTGAAGGAGAGGAACACAAACCAGATCCTTTCATACCCTGATGCTGCAAGAATCAAACGTCCCTCTGAGACCAGAAAATGGAAGAAATTACTAAACACTTATCTATGAGGCAATCTGGATGAGGATCTAAATAAACAGATCACAGACTCGCCGTCTTCCTTCCAAATATTTACCCCCCCTCTATCCTTTTCTTCACGCCGTCTTTACTCCAGACACTGGAAAAAAAGTGTTGTTCCTCTGAGAATAACAACAACCATGATATAATCATACCTGGCTAGGCTTTGAGGCTCTGGCTTCGTTAAAACGGGAGGGGGGGGTTAGAAAAAGGAAAGAATAATAGCGAAACAGGGGAGAGTTGTAAAAAATGAGGAATTTCAAATCCAGACAGAAATCTTTCCAGAAGACGTGAGTCACCTGCACATGCTCGCATTAAAGCGAGCTGTGAGAAGCCAGGAGGCAAGGAGGGTCAAAAGGTGTGAAAGGTGTGACAGTTCTGAGTAATTCGCTCTAATTTATTTCTGGTAAACAGTCAAAGATATAAAGTAGATAGGAGGACTGGTGACTCAAGGCTGCTACAGAGAATCCAGTCACACTGAAGTGGAAAACACAAAGAGTTTAGACCGAACTACCAGTCCTATTGCAAATTCAGTCTTCTGGGTAAAATTTATCTCGTGAAGAGATCAAAATCTAATCAGGAGTTAAAGTAAACCAGGAATTTAAACAATTACAGTAAATAATAAACACTTTCCCATCTGAGTAATGACCTGTATCCTGAAAAATTGCATTTATTTGAGCTTTTAACTGTTATAAAGCTGTTTCTTCTTAAAAATGATGCGCAAAGTGGACGATGTTTGGCTTATTTCATGCATTTATCAGTAATCTTTATGGGTTTTCCTCCATAAGCAGTGGCCTTCATTATTTTTACATAGAGCAGTGATCGTCTCCTCCTGGAGGCGCCTCCTTTGACCACACTGCGCCTGCTCTGCAAACAACACGCACGCTTTCTCCCATCAGGAAGCGCTGATGTGAGCCAGAGAGCCATCATTTCTGCTCCCAGTAGAGGCAAAGAGGTAGCCTGGGTGCCATTCCGAACTTAGTCCCGCCCACAAGGTTTGAGGTCGGGAAGTTCGGTCTGGCATTGCTCAATAGTAGCGGGAGTATGCTCGCACAATATCTGGCGGGCCAATCAAATTGTCAGGGCGGGCTTTATACGATGATGGACAGATGATCAACAGTAACGTAATCAACCACATGACCAAAGCGCGCTTGGGTGACAACAACAATGGCTGCCGCTGGAGAGTTGAGGTGTGTAGATTCTGCTATTA